CTCATTGGCCGGGGGGCGGGGAGACGGGACGCGACAGCCAATCGCCCGGCGCCCAGCATGGGTGGAACCGCCGCGCCGGCCTCGCCCATCCCGCCGCCGCGCGGTCCCTGTCCGCCCCGTCGGGCGGGGCCGGCAGCGGCAGGCGGGGGAGGAGGGGGATGATGATGAGGAGGAGGATGATGATGAGAAGGAGGAGGATAATGAGGATGAGGAGGGCATCCCCGCGCATGGCGGCCAGGGCTGGCACCGCGGCCCCCCGCGTTGTGCCACAGCCACAGCGGCCGTCGGGTGACCTGGGTGCCCCGGGGCCCCGGGCGTGAGGGCAGCGGGTGGCGGCGGCCGCCTCCCCGGCAGGGGCTGCCGCTGCCCCCCGGTCCTCGATACTTTTCGCGGGGCTGCGGTGCGCGGCCCTGGCGCAGGGCGGGCCCGTGGGCTGTCGCGACTGAGGGGTGAGTCGCGATTGGCGTCCGTGGCTTTAGGCGAGAGCAGAGCGTGTGGCGTGTTCAGGTAAGGACGTGCAAGGGTTAACTTAATTCCCTTGATCCATCCACTCTGAACTGGAGCTTTGATTAACATTGGTCTGCAAAATGTAACTGTAACAAATTCAATTAAGGGAAGCACATTTCTTCAACTTTTAATTAGATCTACCCTATTTGTCTAATGTTTAATATAACATAAAAAAGCTGCTTAGGTTCCAGAGGGAAATGGAAATAGATTTAGATGTAAGTTTAGCTTCTAAAAACACAACGGACTAAAGTTCTTTGTTCCCTCAGCATATATTGGGGCACTCATACCCTCAAAGGCACAGGGAGGAAAACGTAATTTTATCTGCAAAATTGTAAAAATAATAGTGTGGTATTTATGGACGAGTTTCTCATGACCTTTAATTTTACCGAACGTACAGGTTCTAGCCCAGGCTTGATGCACAGTAGTACAGGATGCTGGTCAATTACAGTTCTTCTAAGAAAACTTAAACAGTTAGGTATTCCTCAACCATTTAGTTGATTTCACTTAGTACACGAAAGTGAAAGTGAGCTGAATTATAGCTTAATATGATAAATAGCAAATGCTGGCAAAGAGGGGAGCCCCTACGCTGTCGTTAGCAGTTAACTGAGAAAGTCAAGGGTCTCCCTGTCACATCCTAGAAGTGACTGACTTTGCCTTCAACAGAATGTCATCCTGCCATTCCCTACCCGTGCTTTTGTGGTGGGATTTACTTCTGAAAATCACAGCCCCTTTCCAGTTCAGTTCAAATACGTGTTTTCTGATGGCGTCAGTGCTGGGCATGTGTTTTTAGGTCGGTTAGTCACAATATGAGTCTTTCTTGTACGGGCACATTAGGTCATGAGAGAGAAAAGGAAAGCAAATATCAGCTCTTGCTGAGCTACTTGGAGAAAGATACAACATAATTTGAACTGCATATGCAGAAGTGATCACCTGTCCCCAGATTACCCTGTATGATTTAACAATGTGGCTGTTTTCTGCCTCCCAGTGCAATAGATATCAAGGACTACTTTCTCTAGGATAATTTATCTGATCAGTTAAACAACCCGCAGATCTCAATGCTAATAATTATGAGGACTTGATGCTGTGTTCCTAACAGCCACACAGCCAGAAGTCCGGGGGAGTCTGGCATTCACAAGGCGTGACACATCGCACCCTGTCTTAGTATCTGAGCAAAGACAAAGAATGTCTTTTAAACCCAAGGGCCCTCTCTTAGTGTACAGGCGGTAAGAAACAGAAATGCTATCTAGCAGTAGCCCTGAGGAGTAAACCATCACTTTCTCGCTTCTGGCTGTGGGAGTCCATACACGATTATCCTGCTAGATTAAAAAATAAAGAAATGAATAAATAAAAATAAAAGGTCAGGTGTGGTAGGAGCTGGCAGGGTGATGAGAGAGATTTCACCGAATCTTTTCTGAACTTGGTAATTTGCACTGCAGAAATTGCTGCAAAAGCTGCATTCGTTCTAGCACGCATACTTCCTTCCCTTCCCTTCAGGCCTTATTCATATAGTTTATTCATACAGAAAGAGGTCTCTGGTCCTGTGAACAAGTTTTATTTCTCTGCTACATTCGCAAGGAAGTAGGTAGTTACTGTCCAGGCATGGTGGTTAATTGAACCAAAGGAAGTTCTGAAAAACTTGAGGGATGACGTGAATGGACAAGGATGTTCTAGGGGAGTTTAGGAGCCATTTGATGAATGCTTGGGGTACTAGCCAAATGCTAGCCACTAAACTCATGAAACACAATCATTATATTTATTATTTTTATTATTATGTCTTCCACAGTTGTGTTAAGGGAAGAAGAAGGTATCCTATCATGAGAAAAAGAAAGAAGAAGTATGAAAAGCCAGAAGAAATTATGTTCTAAACCCAAGACCTATTTTGTTTTGCTTTTTTAAAGTGTATTAGTACACCAAAAGAGAATTTTAAACAGTGTCTACCATTCAGAAGTTCCATCAGGAACCTGCTAAGCACAAATGAAGAACCAGACTCTGTTATATTCCTCATATCCCTTGTTTTTCATTTAGACTTTGACTGAGCCAGAGGCTGTACCTGTAGAGCATCTCGGAAGAATCTGAATAAAAAAGCAAGGCCAAAAAGGATGCAGTGTTTGTCTTTGCCATTTTTATTTTTTACTCTCTGTATACTATGACTTCAAGATAAAATCTCAAGATCAGAAAGGAATATGAGCCATAAAAACCAGGTTTTGAAAGTGAATGACTCCTGCTTGCTCCATAAAGAACGAGAAATCCTAGGCCAAAGCCAATGAAACCAAAATATTCTCGGGCCTGTAGTGGCAAGTTTTATGGCATATAAAGAGCAGATACTAGAATGAGAGTCACTGAACTGAGGCAAATTCAGGAGGAACAGCGGCACGTCCGAAACAGCAGTCGGGGCTCTGGCTTTGGCCCCAGGCTACCATCTGTTTTCTTTTTTATATCAGACGTTGAGTGACCAGGTGGCACAACTGCCACAATTAGGTGTACAAGATGGGAAGTTGGGCAGATCATGAGGGCAAATCAGCGGCAAGAAAATGGGTAAATGATACTGGTGGCATGTTAATTTACTTATCAGGCAGAGTTTAGAACTGTAAACTAACAGGGATTGAACTGTGACTCTCATGATGAAATTATTCAGTGGCCTTGTGTTGGACAAGATCACAGGTACCTATTTTTAACAGAAAGAGGTTTACTTTGTTCTTCATTGTAATGTTGTTTTACTTATTTTATTTGGTCTTTTCTATCCTCAAGTGGTTTTTTTGTTTTGTGAGTAGTTTATATGCTTGAAGACAAAGGAATTTGCCTTTGGGGAATGGGACAGCTTTTCAAATGAAGTTCCAATTGCATAACTTTAAGCACACATTTCTGAAGCTTCTTTTAGCAAATGAAATGCCCACTCCTGATTGTTTTTTACCCAGTTGACTGGGAATCCAAGGGCTGGTATGTGCAGCTGAAAGTTAAAAGCTTGGAATCCCATTTTAGTGCCTTGTTGTCCCACCCTTGATTTCAGTGAAGTTTCCATAATGTATACCAGGTGATGATGATGTATTTAGAAAGACACATTCCTAGTCAGGAAGCCAAATCTGCATCAGGAGAACATGAAAGACATGAAAGCAAAGTGAGAAAGCGAAGTCCCAAAAGTGAGAATTAACCTTCAGTAAAATGAATAAATAGCGGAGTAACTGTTCAGATCTATACAACTAACAAACACGTCATATGAAGTAAGTCTTTGAAGATGATTTTTTGGGCAACGTGTGAGACTGTGAGTTGGATAGAGGCAGTGGAGAGCAAGCATTGAGATTTTGTTTTGGTTTCAATTCTAGCTAAGAATCAAAGGGTAAAATCAAAGAACTTGTTAGTCCTCTGACTGATGTGTGTCTCAATGTGTCATTTAATTTCATTGTTTTCTTGTGTTTGATCTATACACATCTGCTGCTTCTTCTAAGTTGTTTAGGCAGAAATGGTCTCTTTTAATCTGCATTTGTATAGCAGCTAACACAGAATGCTCCTGCTCTGTGCCCAGGGCTCCTGGAAGCTGTGGCAGCATAAACAAAAATGAAAACAGGGGTATTATTTTATGGGGGAGTGTTCAAGTATAGTCAAGCCAACCTGCATATGCTTTGCTCGGATGCCAGCTGTGTAGCACAAGGACAGATCTGAGCCAGTGTCAGTCTGTTCCCCTGTAGAGGGTGCCCCTAGTTCAGGGATTCTCTTTTGGGTTGACAACTCTGCATCCCTAATCTTCCTCCTCACTTTGAAAATCAGTTTTCACCAGAGCGATGCTCAGGGTGATACTCCAGAAAAGCAACTTTTTCAGTGTGCTTAGGATGAACTGGACTGAAGTCCTGGTTTTCTTTTCAAGCAGAATCTACTATATAAAATGAAAAGCTACTGACCAGTTAGCTTCCAGAGTGCCCAGGTATTAGTAGTCTCCAGTCTTACCTTATGGTGGTGGACATTATGGGTTCCCACATGTAAAATTTCTAATCACTGGTGAGCATATGCATCATATGGATGACTGTGTAATAAAAAGAATGGGAAGTGGGATTTCTAATTTAATTCTGTGGAGCTGACCTTCACAAAGCACGACTACTGTGTGACAGCAGTCAATGTTACCTCTGAGAAGAGGGTTGAGACTTAAATAAGGTCTTTTCAAATGGATACGGATGATTGTCATGATGCACTTAACAACGTCCTTGTCATTCATCGTCTCCAATACAAAATAGGGATAACTCTGTTTTGAGAGACTTGAATGAATTGCCTGTTTAAGTGCAAAATATACTTACGTTTACATCAGGTTGAGAGTGGAGGGAGGGTGAATAATATACATACTAGAATATAGCAATGAAATGTAGGTAGTGCCTTATGGCTTCAGGCTTCCTGAATTTCATATCTTTAATTTGAGATTTCCATACAACCTTCACCATGCAGCAGACATATAACAAAGATCCCTCAGAAAGCCAGCCCAGCCATGAAGCAGGGCAAGTGCTACCATTTAACTATGCAGAGTAGGCTGAGAACATCCATGTGAAGAAAAAATAGGATAGAGTCACTAGAGTAAAAAACTAGTTAATGCATTTTAAATTTCAGAAAATACTTTTGAATATCAGTAGCCTGATAAATAAATTCTCAAGGGAGTTTGTTTTCATTTAGCTCACACACTCACTTCATTCAAAGGCACAGTGAAATTACCTTAGTATTTATATTTAAAATGCCAAACCACAGAAGTGTCAGGATATTTTTTTTATACATTAGTCACCATTTCATAATATTTTCTGTCCTTTTTTAAAAATGTATTTATTTCTCTTACAGAAATGCAGTCACTGTACAATGCTGATGTTTAGACTCCTGTTGGAGACCTAAAAGCTTGCAAAACACATGGCTAAATGAAAGGGAAATTATACATCATTAATATAATTATGAGAGAAGAATTTTTAATTTCAGTTTCTTAGCTATATTTTGGCCAGTATGCAATATGGTAAGCTTGTTAGCTCTGGCAATTCTGTCTGTCAGCATCACCATTTTGTTTGCAAACTAAAATGCTTGTTTTGTTTCCCCTATTGCTTTTTCTATAGCATATGCCATAGCCTTCAAATTACATAAGAAGGGAATAGAGCTCTCTGACTGTAACGGTGTTGTTAAGATAAGGTCAGTGCTGATGTCTTCTGCAAACCTTGATAGATATTTATCCAAGTCAAAGGCGAATTTTTAATCATTACGATATGTTAATGTAAAAAAGTAGCCTTTCTTGTTTTTTAAAAACTTAGGCAAACAAAAAAAGAAATCCTACCCAGTGAACCTAAGTCTTCTCACAGTTACACAGGTATATATCTGCAGTAAAACCTGCTGTCTTAAAAGCGCAGCTTCGATGACTGCTACCTTCTATAAATCAAGCTATCTTAGAGACCCAAAGAAGTTACTGAAGCAATGCGTAATTTCAATTCAAGTCCTGAATTTAAATATGAAGTTTTAAGGGAACAGAGACTTTAGTTGCACACTGGGGATGTGGTTTCTTCCTTACTCAATAGTTCTTACTTAATCTGGGGCAAGATCATCTTCCCCAGCTGCCCATAAATCCATGAATGAAAGTCCCCTATCATCTTCCTGGTCTTTTGCTTTTGACCTCTTCAGTTGCCAGTCCTCTTACCTTCCTTCTTCTCTGTCCTTCCTGTTCATCTGGGAATATAATTTGTGATAACGTTGCCAATCCTAAGTGAGAAATGATCTGGACAGTCACAATCGTCCTTTTCAGCCTTGACAGTAGAGCTGTTTCTGTAAGAACCGGGATTGGTCTTTTTCTCTTAGGGATGAAGGTAAATTCTGCAGTCAGAATTATGACTGATGAGGAAGCATACTAATAGATTGTTCCCTGCTGAGGAATGGAAAACTCACTAAGTCCTTGGTTTGTTTTTAATTCTTGTTTGTATATGAACATAAGTAGCTAGCCAGGAATGTTATTTAATAGATAGAAGAAAAAAAAAAAAAAAAAAAAAAAAAAAAAAAAAAAAAAAAAAAAGGAAAGACTAAAAACAGACTAAAAAGCAATTTAGGATGGAGATAATAAAGAATAAAGACTCTCATCACTAGAAGCTCATCCTTGCCCACACTGAAATCGGGCTAAGAGCTTGCTTGCTTAAGCTCAATAATTTGATCCTAGGGAAAAGTTCAGCCCAGAGGAGTGTTCGGTCCTAATTAGTTTTAGGATTTTGGCCAATATCTTCTTGTCCTTAAGTGTGGATTTTCAAAGAAATGGTGATTTCATGTGGTCTTTGATGTTGGAATTCTAAATTAAAATGTTCTTTCTAAAGATGAGAGCCTAGATTAAGTTATTCTGAGACTTACAGTGGACTCCTTCATGCCTTAACTTTCTTCCTTCTGCTGAAATCTATGACCCACACTTTCCCCACCATAATCACAGAAAGGCATTATCATCATTATTCCTTCATAAATACGAAGGTATCTGCAGAATAACCTCAGGGATTTATTAGAGCAACAGTCATTCCTCAGTTTAAAAAGGCCTGTTCAATGCTAAGGTTTTTTATTAACTAACTCTTCAGTTTGGCTTTCCCTCTGAAAGTTATTAAGCTTTATCTCTGACCAAATTGATTTTTTTTTAAGGAAACTGGTGATGCCATTTTTGTCTTTCAGGGGTTCATAAAAATGTCCACGTTTGACTTTTTCAAAAAGATTTATATTACTTTGCCTTCCCTTATACTCTAATTTAAATGGAACTTGTTTGATTTTTTCCTGCAGTCACTTCTCCTAAAAAAAAAAAAAACTGGAGAGTTTTCTTTGAGGAAAAAAGGTTATTTGCTGAAGTTATTTACAGTTTAATTGCCAGTTTAATTACAATCTAATGTCTCGTTTACTGTGACACGCTCTCCTCTGCAGGCTGAGCTGCGATAGATTACAGGAGTCACAATGGCAATAGATTCACCTGTGTCTGGAGCTGGGTGGCCTCACGCTGTTGTCAGCTGAAAAACAGCACTGACCCTCTGGTGATGATCAGAACATGGAGAACGTTCTGACCAAACATACAGTGGGTATTTCAATATTATTATGTTTTTGCAATCCCAGGTTTTGTCACCGATTCATAGTCCACT